CAACCAGTCTAAAACCAATGTTCTCAAATAAAGATGGACGTTCTCAGGAGGTTATATTTATAGATATTTTTTGATTAAATATTAATTAAATAATTTAAATAATTATATAAAAAATATAAAATTAGGCAATTCAGTGGAAAAGTTGGTAGAGCAACATATTACCTCTAAGGAAGAAGGTTGCTAGATCAACTTGTGTTTACATGCTCTCCCAGTGAAGGAGTGGGTTTTCTCCAGGTACTCCAGTTTTCTGTCACAGACCAAAATCATATTTTATTAAAACTAATATGACATAAAAAGAAAATAACTACAGAGAAGCAATTCTTGCTGGAGGTGTGGCCTCTGTTGAAGTTTAAAATGATTGGATCAGTTGGCCACGACGTATGTGTGCCAGCTCCACTGTGAAGGGTTTGGGTTAATACTACAGTAGATGTAGTTTGTAATTGTGCTTGTTTTAGTCTTTATTTCCAGTTTTTTCTTCACAAAAGTAAACATCAACAAGCAAATAAAACTTTTAACATACAAAGAAGAGGTGATGGCTTTAAAATTTTGTCTTTAAAATATATGTATTGACATTTTTAAATAAAATGACAGACATCACAGCAATCATTTGTGAAGGGAAGTTTCCCCATCACGTTTAAAATTGAATTAATTTGAACCCCCACATTTACCATAAAATCAGTGTTTCCCTTGCTTAACAAATAAATTTATTCCACTTGGCCTGTAAAATACTCACATTAAGTGTTTTCCTATAGGTAAAAGTCTGTTTAACGACCTGTTAAAATATATCAGAATGCAGGAAATGGCATATACTTCTTTCAAAATTTCCTGCACTCTAAAATGAAATGTTGGATTTACTTAATCATGTTATGTGACCTGGTTCCACTTAACTGAGTTGAGTAAATTCAAAGCAACATGCTCATGTTCTTTGTTAAAAAAACTGGTATATTGCTTTGAATTTACTCAACTCAGTTAAGTGGAACCAGGTCACATAACATGGTTAAGTAAATCCAACATTTCATTTTTTACAGTGGGAGGACCCCCAGACCCCCGACAAGTGGGTCCCCTCAAAATTACAAATACTTCTGATGCTACTGATATATGTAACAATGTAAGGAAAATTCATGGGTCTCCATGTGTAAAGATACAGAACAAGTTAGAAATGGACTGTTGTGGAAGTGCAGATAGTTTTTTTTTGTCTCTGAACGTCACAAAATCAGTAAAATTATACATAAAATTACAAATTGAACATCTGTTGGCAAATCTGTAGATTTTATATTGCCATAGCTTTCAAATGGTCATTTTTACAACCATATCATAAAATTTTTGTTATAGATATTAGTTTTGGTGTGCCACCGCTGGTTTTTCAGTGCTCCCCACCCACCATGCCCCCCTGAAAAAAATTTCTGCAGGCACCACTGACATCAAGCCAAATTACTTTTAATGTCTTCACAATGAATTAATGTATTTCATTATTAAAGTTAATTTCATACAACTAGAAGCTAACACTGGAGACTCAGACAGATTTTGAAAACATAGCTACCGGTACACTGGATATCATGGATTCACAAAATGTTACGTTGGAAGAACCATCTCAGTGAAACAGTACCATCTTCAAATCAGTCAGGTTTGAAACAGAGCCTGAAGCAAAATCTAAAAAGCAATAAAACATTTATTTTAATCTGGTTTAAAACCCCTTAGCTCACATTAGATTAACAACTCTCCTGACCTGTGGACCCAAGAACACATCAGTGGTTGGTCCACTGCAGAGCAGTAGGTTTTTGCACGTACAAACTCTTGTACGCAGAATGGAGTACATCAGAGACAGGAGCTTAGGTTCCCCTTTTTTCTTGAGAAAATATGTTAGTTTTTTAATGCTTACAGGCCAGCTAAACATAACTTATGTTGTTATGAGGAGTTTTATGATATTTTTGTTGTCCCCTGGACATTTGATGCCATAGGCACAGTGCCTGCTCTACGTGTGCGGAGTGCCAGGTTTTACAGAATCCACACCGATTGTCCGATCATTTGAGAGAGCGGTGCATAATGTGTGTAAATGATATGTGTGATGTCACAAGTGGAGGACCACACTGGATCTGTCTCACACCTCAGGTGTTCTGCTAGACATTAATTTTGTAAACAAATGCTTAAAAATCAACATGTTGGGGCTTCCTGTTTCATGTGTCCTCTTGCCTTGACAACAAGCAGCACACAGAATCAGCTAAAAATAATGTTATAAAAAGATCATATCAATCTTTAGTTATAGCTCTATGGAGATAAATTAGTCTCAAAAAGGTTGGAGCGTGCGCAACAAGATTCAAGTGAGCTCGCACAAAAGCACTCACGCTCTGTTAACGCTATACAGCAGATGAAGATGAATACAAAACAGAAATATTAGACATGAAAATACAGAAATATAAGCAAGAAACTAAAAAAAAATTTCACTTATAAACCATGTAAAAAACACAAGTGATATCTTTATGGTAGTTTTTCCACAAGACAAAAATGTTAATTCTGTTGACTGCACAGCTGAAATAATCATTTCTAAATGGGTATGTTTTTTAATGAAAAACTATCAGGAAAATGCATTTTTCCAATTATATATATACTTTTTATTGGTGTCTTTTCAACCTACTTATTTTAGATAGTTTATTTCAGCCTCACAGTCCTCAAAATGTAACATTGTTGGATCCCAGTAATATCAATGTAAATGTATGTGTTTTAATACTGTAAGGTTTATGAACTATTGTGCCAAGTGAGAAATGTCATCTCCCAATAACCCAGTGAATCTGGTAAGGCTCAAATGTCCCAGCTTTTCATCAGCTTTGAGCACAGCATTATGCTACTTTTAGAAAGAAAATAGTACTCAACCCAATTCAACATTTGGATTTTCCCAGTCTTAATTGGGGTTCAAACCTCTTTCTGTAATTTGATCTATGATTTAGTTTATTATTCTACTTATTGATCCTTCTGCTTTAGCTTTTGTTGTGCCTTCACACAGCCCTCTGGTCACATACACATATTTTAAATTAAATTAAAATAACTACGACTGATTCTGATGGAAGAGAAATGTTCCTCACACAGATCTATGAACAATATTATGATTTCAAACAAGTCATTGTACACGTTAACACTTAATTTACATATCTTAAAACTGTTTCTGACTTTACAGGAGAGTGAGGCTGCACCGTCCCCTGCCGCTCCTGCTGCTCCCCAAAAACCTGAGACCAAACCTAAACCTGAAGCTGCAGTGCCTCCTGGCAGCCCTCAGCACAACAATCTGCAACCGGATAAACAGGAGGACAAATCCCAGCTGCGGGTATGAAAACAGCTCTCATATTTAGAATCACATTGTATACGCTGCTCATTTAAAACTTAAAGGTTTCAGTTTTTTTTTAATCTCAATTCCTTTAGGCAATGAGATTTTATGTTTTTGTCTATTTGTTTCTGTGTGAGAGGCAATGTCCCCCTAAAGTCCCCTAAAATGCCAGATCAATATGTATTGTTAAGAGAATGTTAAAGGTAAATTTGTTACAGAAATACAGTATGTAACAATATAACATATGATTTGTGTTCAAGATGGAGTCAAACCTTTATTGTTTTTTCTTTTCGTTTTTTTCTTTTTTATTTATTTATTTAGTTTTGTTATTGACATTTGAAGTTTATTTTTGATTGATTTTATTTGAGACAAAAGGGGCAGATATTAAAAGATTTTGTCTTCATCTGCTACCTTTCATTTATTTATGATTTGTATTTTAATTATATTGAATTTGTTGTTTTTAATTAAATGAATAAACATTATAATTATTATTATTATTATTAAAGTCCACCACAGGCCACACAGACCCAACACCAAGGGTCAAACAGTCACCAATTATCATGCATGTTTTTGGCCTGTGGGAGAATACAGTACATGCATGCGTGGGTTACACATGCATGGAGAGAACACGTAAACCCCACACAGAAAGGCTGGGAGGTGAAACTGCAGCCGTCTCGCTGTGAGATGACAGCGCTAACCACTGTCCCACCAACGTTATCTCTGTTAAAACCTGCTAGCTTCCATCACGTCTCTCTAACCTCCAGACTGGTCTGCAGGTTCGTCCCGTCTTGCAGCGAGGCGGCAGCTCAGCTTCGCTCCACAACACCTCACTGCGGAGCACCATCTTCCAGCTGATGATCCACACCCTGGATCCTCTGGGAGAAGGTATGTGACAGACGATTCTGCATGTTACAATGTTAGCTTATCAGAAACGTACCAGACTGGTGCTTTGACTCATTCACGCATGTTTGAGAAATTCTTGAATCTCCTGTGGTAGCCATGTGGAGCTAACTAAATGCTAGCTGGAACAAAGCTCCACCTATTTACACAAAGCCCCTCCCTGTTGTGAAGATGTGCTGAAGTGGGAGTGTCTGAAGCAGTAGAAGGTTCTTAAAGAGACAGAGGACAATTTCATGGTTAGAGAGACTATGATGCAAAATCAAATTTATGTTTGATATTAACAGCTTTTTTATAACAATTGAAAGTGACAGAGTTACTTAATCATGGTAAAGAATTTAGCTATGTGCCTGGACAAAACATACCCCCCCCCCCCCCCCCTTTAAAATGAATGACTTTTTCCTTTTCCACTAAGTTACATTAATTTATTTAGTACCAGTTTGTTTAAAAATCTTTGTAGGCTACTAAAACCTCTAAAACAAATCAAAACCAAAACTTCTATTTTAGCTCCATACAGTGCAATCTGGACAAATTCAAAGATTTTATTAGTTTTCGTTAGTTTTTATAGACCTCTGGGAGGATTTAAGGGAAAACTACAGTTTGGATTTATTAAAAATGACCAAATAAAAAGACAAATCAGAAACAATTCAGCCCTTTTTTATCTGTTACTTTGATTAAAATGTGTTTTGTTTGCACAAAGGAAAGAAAATCTTAAAAAGGTAAATCTTAATCAGTTTTTAATTTAATAATTCTGTTCTGTAAATCAGCGTGACCTTCAGTCTGTCCTCGAACTCGTCGCACCGCTGTTCCCTGCTCTCACAGCACTTGACCACCGCTGATCCTTAATCAGCTTTCAATGCAGGCTAATAAAAGCTGGATCAGAGCCGGCGTGCTCGCAGACCAAAGTTTGTACCTCAGAGGAGCCAGCTGAGTCTGGCTCCATGCAGGGGATCTCTGCAGTGAAATATGAACCGGAAAACATTTAGTCTCCTAGTAATTAGGATGTTAATGTGTTTAACTGGTGTTAAACCAAAGCAGGGTGGTTCTGCTGCAGAGGCTTCTGGTTTTCACTTCATCAGTTTGTCCTATCAGTATTGATTAAAGAACTCTTTCTGCGGGGCTCATAGTTAACAGACAATAATGATACATTTTCTGTCAAAAAATGAAGAAACAGGAGAAGAGGCAGATGATGGTGAGATTACGAGGAAAAAAAAGCAAAAGTGCTGGCAAGGCAGCAAACGACAATATTAGTTTTGTCGTTTACTGTCTTTTCTAAGCAAGTAGCAGCAAGGAACTGGAAGACAGAGCAATGAGAGAGAGGAAACATGAAGTACACGTTTTGAGGAGGTGATTCAGGCTGCTTCATACTTCATCAGTTCTCACTGTTGTTCTGAGGTGTTCTTTGTTCTTGCATGGGCATTTTCTGTTTTAAAGAGATGTCCTGGTGAGCCCCTCCCACTGCCCACTCCCACAGAAACAACACAGCGAGAGCATGGTTGGTAAAGTAGATGTTTGTTTTTAGTCATTAATGAAGGAGTTGGGAGATCTGGTATGGCTAAACAGGAAGAAGAACTATTTTGAAAATCTGTCATGAAGAGACAGCCACGTGTGTGAAGGTGTCCCTAAATCCTTCCACCTCCCATCCTTATATGTTTTATTTGACTATCTTTATAGGTTTTGCTGGAACAGTTGTAAAGATGGCTGTATTTTCTAACAGCTTCAGCCAGATGATCATCAGCAGAACAGTGTGCTGCAGATGCTTTTTGTAGCTATCGCCTACCGTAATCGCCTCCGTGTGTGTCTGTTCCCACTACATCTCAAGAACAGTGAGGAGGATTTTGTTGTACTTCACAGGCCAAAGTGAATGGGTATTTGTCTAGAAGTGATTACCTTTTGCAGTCAATCAAATCCAAGATGGCTGCCACAGCCTGCCAACCCTTCAAAACACAGTAATAGCCATAACTCAGGCATTAAGAGAGATATAGTTGATATTTTCACATGAAGGTAACTAAAATACATCTTCAGCTAAAGCTGATTAAAGTACCGTATTTATGCAAGTATAATAATGGGTAGTACTATACTTGTATCATTTTTTTGTTAATGTATTTTCACAAAATTCACAAAATGCCTGAGTCTGAAAATTTGACCCGAGTCGTAGAAAAGGGTTGAAGCGAGCTTATCTCTGACACTCTGTGCCTCTGAGTGAGGTAGTAACAGACCCAGGCAGGTGACATGATGTAAAAGAAAACAGCAGTGCTGCAGCTAAGTAATGATAATGAACTTAACGACATTAGTGTGCGACCGGGCCGCACCTGGARCAACAAACACACGTTCGTCTGTAATGGCTGGTGTTGAGCAAAAGTTGGTTTGCCCAAAAAAGGTTTCCCCACCTGAGGAGGCACTATAGTGGGGGCATTACTGAAGTACAGTAATCTTTTTTTTTTTTCCACCAAAAGATGGCCCAAATCTCATGAGGTCTCTTAGTTTTGTGTTGGCACCCGCTGGTGGACAGTATATAAAATGCCAACATTCATATGACGCTGCTACAAAGCTCCAAATCATAGAGTTTGCTGATATACATTTGTTGTCAAAATATATTTAGTGCATATGTTGTAAAAATAAAATTAACAGTCAAATGATCATTTTACAGATATGTATAAAGACTGCAAAGGCTGAAAAATCTGGAAATCTGAATGAAATTAGAGGTAGCTCGAGGATTTCACTTTTTATGTTTTTTAAGCTAAAAAAAGGTGGGGTTGGTATTATACATGAATAAATACGGTAACTACCAGTAGAGCTGTAGACCTGACGCAGGAATGGGTTCCACGGTTGGAGCTGAGTTCACTTTAGTCAAACTAGCGGGCGATCTGCATTTGGCCTTGAATGCTTGGCCTTTATTATAAATGGGTTCTTTTATATTGTTAAAAAATCTGTATATTCCTGTTATGATTTTACCTACAGTGAACTGTTGAGCATTAAAAGGTTTGTAATAAAGGTTTTTTTTTATGAAAATGTAATGCTTAAGATTTAACTTCCTTTCACACTTTAATCAACTCATGTTTATTTAGAAAAAAATGTTAATATTCTATCACTTGGAGTCAGATCCTGACAAACTGTAAGTTTTGTTAAATGAAAAGCTTTATTTTACACATTTCTATGTTTTACTCCAACACCTGTGTGCGGTTGTTACATCAGATAAGTGTGGGCAGATGTTCAGTCAAACTCGTTTGACGTTATTTCATACTGGGCCAATTTTATCACCTACTTCTTCATTCAAGAGCCATACAAACAAATACTGGCTGGATGCAGCAGATAGAATAATAATAAAAAAAAAAGTTTAACGTAGTCAAATTTAGATAAGCTGATATTTTTAGAGGAATGTTTGTTGTTTGTGTGAAGCTATGATAAACGTTTGCTTGGTGTCTGTTATCTGTTGAAACACCTCTGAGAGCCCAGGAGTTAAATTTCTACTTGTGCTCTCCATCCTAGAAGCAGGCCTTAGGGGGGCCGTTAAAACCGCCCGGCCAAAGAGGGCGAGAGAAGGTAAGAGCAGGAAGCTGTCACCTGGCTGTTCCTCGTCTTGTCACGTGTTGGGTGCTTTTTGTCGTGTTATTATTTTAAATTCTTTACGACCAATCTTGAATGAGCACAATAACAGGATCTGGGGTTTTGGCAGTTCTTTTTTTTTTTGTGGTTTTTAGTTTTTTTCCCCTTTATTTTTATCTTGTTTGTTTGTTGTTTTGTGATACTTGTTTAGTTATTTCCCTTGTGTTTCAATTTGATTGGTCTTTGTGCCACACAGCCACTTCTTCCACCAGTCGGCCACAGCTGCAGCCACTCTTTTCATCACTGCCTGTCTTTATCATCTTACTGCAGCTCATTTTTCAGTCCACTGTTGCTGTGCCCTGTGCCATGTCCTCCTCTTTGTTTATTCTCACTTAATGTGGGTTTTTGCTTCCATTGTCAGCTTTTTGTTTATGTGTGAAATAAATTGTAAGTTTTAGTGTCAGTCTACGCTGCGAGGCAGTAGGTCAGTTAGGCTTTTAGCAGCCTGGAAACAAGTAGATATAATGTTCTGGTTCATCTTGGTAGGAACAGAAGATCTTTGATGAATAGCTGTTTAAACGCTGCAAAGATAAATGAAATAAATCAGCTTTCATCAGTCTGTTTAATGTGTTTAACTCACAGTAAAGAGTTAAATGAGTTATATGTGTTAATTTGGTTGATCAATTTAATATTCTCGGTTTTGCCTTTCTGCCAATCAGAAACATCCTTCAATGGTGATGTAAGAGGGGAGGGGCTTGTACAGAGAAAAGGTGAGCCGTAAGAAGGTGCTGTCTTTGTCTTTAGATTTGGTTTTATTGATTTTGTTTTTAGATTTTGTTTTGTTGATTTTTTTTTTGTTTTTAGATTTGGTTTTGTTGATTTTGTGTTTGTTTTTAGATTTGTTTTTGTTGATTTTGTGTTTGTTTTTAGATTTGTTTTTGTTGATTTTGTGTTTGTTTTTAGATTTGTTTT